ATTTTTTTTATAGAAAATTGTGTAACACATTTGTATTTTTTTTCATTTACAACTGATTTAAAATTATGGTTGATTTATAATTATTTTTTTTTTTATGTAATTTCAAAACATTGTAAAATTGAAGATATGGCTTATTTATTATTAAAAAACTATTTTTCAGTCATTAATTCAAAAACTCTTCAAATTCAAAATTTGAAATTGTGAAGAATGTATATTGATGTGGACTGATGGAAGATACATGATTTCTTTAATTAAGAATTTGTTTCCGTAAAACAACAAAAAAACCTAAACTATAAATATTGATTTTTATTATGCATGTGTACAACAAAGAAAATTGATACATATAAACTTCCTATGAGCAAGGATTCTGTAAACTTTCAAATTAAACATCTCATAATAATAATAATAATAATAATAATAATAATAATAATAATAATAATAATAATAATAATAATAATAATAATAATAATACAATTTTACATTATATGAAATAAATATTTAAAAACCATCGTACAACAACATACATAATATTTAAAATTACCTAACAAGAAAGATTATATCATTCTAAAATTTATACAAAATTTATTTGGTACTTACTAATCATAAGAGTTAATATTAGATATGACATCTATTGGTTGGAAATAATTCTATTTCGTATGGAATTCGAAAACTACAAATATCTATATCCAGATATATATTATAAGAATAATCATTTACTAAATATATCAATTTACAAAAATTTTGGTAGCATTTAATGCATACCTTTATTTGGAAATATTTTAAATATATTCATTAATTGCTTTCATATACACGTTTTCAAATAAGATCAAATCAAATATAATAAAAAAAATTAGTCTCCTTAAATAATTTTATTAATATCTGCAATTATTTCATTGATATTCATAATAATAAATTACAAAATTGATTTTATGTGATTTATTTTGATAAAATTTTGGTCAAAATAAATATTACAACATATTTTAAGTTCTAACCATTTATTAATTTATTTTCACAAAGATTCACTTTTTAATCATTTACAAAATCAAAGTTGTTTAATTAGTATACAAAATTAAATTTTAAAAAAACATGTGTGTATATTTTGTAAAATATTTGTATACTATTTAATTTTAAAAACATTTACATTTTTTAAATTGATTGCATAAATAAATAATGCTAGCGTGCATTAAATACTCTTCATAACATAAAATAAAAAGAAAAAGAAAGTCTACAACTTTTACAACTTTTAAAATAATAATGACATTATATGACAACAAATTTTATAATGAAATAATAATTAAATATTATATGATGAACAAGAATAAGTAAAACTGTTATTTTCTCTCATATAAAGAAATAAATATGTTTAGATAATATATTAATTTTTTACAAGCTAACCCTAACATGTTTATATTTAATGTTATGGCTGACGGTGATTAAAAGAGATAGACATATATTATAACCGTATTGATTTTTTAGATTTAACGCTGATTGAAAGAGGTAGAAAATATATAGGTAAAAAATATATGATAACCCTATTGATTTTTGGACTTAAACGAACAGAGCATGCGAAAATAATTCATTTAATATCTTTGTCACGTGCATCGCATGAGGTACGTACTAGTTTTAGTGATTATACTTCGACAAAATGAAAAACAATTTCCAACATTAATTATTATACATATCTATTGATGTTAATGCAGAATGCTACAACTATAAATTCTAATTTTTGTTATGTCGTATTTATGACTCTAAATGCTTGTATTTGAGATATGAAAATCTTTTTGATTGGAAATCGATTTTGAAGTTTGTACTCACTCGAAAAGTACTTTACCCCGATAAAAGTCATCCCGAAAAATTCAATGATAAATCAAACATAGCTTGAAACTGCTTTATTGACCCCTATTCAACATAAGTTAAAGGCTTGCAATTATGGATAGTAACCCGAGTTTCCAAAACTAACATCCGACCCGAATCCAGTACAATCGACCGAAAAATTCGCCTCGAAATTAGGTGAGCTTGAAGTAGAAGTCATGGATGCAACTATTGGGCTTGTACCATTACCGGATACTGGAAAAAAGTCTGACCCGAATGTTGCAGGGTCCAAAATATTGCCATAATCTCCCAAAATGTTGTCACAATCCGAGAAAATGTGGTCGTTTTCGGAATTATTAGTGACGGCCAGTGGCAAAGTGTAATTAAATGGGTCTTGTTGGGCTGATGGGCTTGGATCTTCGTTTTGTGGATTGGGCTGTGCTGCGGGTGGGCTGATATTAGTTGGGTTTTCACATGGGCTGCATGTGTGCTTCCGTCGGTATGTGACGTGGAAAATCGTTGGGTCGTCGTCGGATTTTTGAACTTGTTTTGTGGCTGGACAGCCCAGCCCATGCCTGTGGCTACATCTGTAGTACATTCTGCATTGACAGTTTTTATATTAATGAAAAATAAATAAATACATTTTGAGATAATTTTCCACACAAAGATTTTATTACAAAATACCTAGGATAATTGGACCCGAGAATGTCTTTCTGGCCGTACTTCCTTCAACTGTACCCGTCGTCGAGTTGTCCTTCAATCCCCATTTCCGAGGATACTTTCACCTTTTGCGACCACTTTGTCGTAGTCCTTCTACATAAATGTATTCGATTTAATTATGTTGAACTTGTGACATTTGAAAGAAAAACAAATTATTAGACCATCAACCCATGCTATATGAACCAAATGAACTTTCGAAACAAATGAAATATAAATGCAAATTAATTAAGCAACCTTTTGCCATAAGAAGGTTGGCCCTTGTTGGGATCACCTTGATCCGAGTCGTTACTACCGGCCGACTTAGCAGAGTCTTGGTTCGAGCTTGCCGGAACTGGAGGAGGGCGGTGGTTTCCGAGCATGGAGAGCGCCCGGTCGTAACAATGGAGTATTCTCGGAAGCAAATGGTCGTAATCTTCGTAATCGGGCCGCGTGTTGAGACGGTTTTGCAGCTGTACGGCTTGTTCCCTGCCCTGAAATAGCTCGCTTATCGCATTCTCCAAGTCATTATTCGAAGGGAAATTCTCCATTCTTTAGCTAAATTTGGTGTCTAAAAAGTAAAAACCATGCAATTTTACTAGTTGAAAAAGATAAATAACTTGATCTAACTTGGAACTATAAATTGATCAATCCACTATGTAACTTTAACATATATATATACACCCACATGGACACATGAGTATGTGAAAAAACATGGAAATTTATGAGGGGTGGTTTTGAATGAGAAAAATGGAGGGAAAGGGGATAATAAAATAATCAAAAAATACAGCAAAGTGTAGAGTATTTTGATTAAGGTGAAATGATAGTATTGTGACTTGAGCTAATTGGCTGGTCTTTGGTCAAATTGTATTTTGAGGTAAATCAAGTCAAACTGTGGACCATTCAAAACTTACAAGTCATAACCCCAACCAATAACACACAATGGGCTAAAGAAAAAGGGGTCCATATTGCATACATTTTACTTTTTAAATAGAACAAATTAAATATTAGGAAATGAAACACTCTTTTGTCAACTTAATTTATAAGCCCACCGAACTACTTTTTCCATCACCAATTATAAAATTAAATATTACGAACGGACTTACAAGTGAAGGAGCGTGTTGAAATATCACATGTGAATTGTCCCGCATTGATTATATAGGGTAAATGTGTGGGCTACTTCATCTGATGAGACCACACTCTTTTCTCTCGGTTCTAATATAAACTAAATACAAATAATCACCAAATTTACGTTTTTTTGTTACTTGTGACATCGTTGGTATGCACTGATTTTAACGTTAATTTATGACATAATTTTTTATTTTTCTTATGCTAATGATCAAATCAGCTGTACTGACGTGAGAGAGATGATACGTTACGTTTGGGATTCTTTTTTTTTTTTTTTTTTNTTTTTCAACTGAAAAACGTGTAAATATATAAATGATGTCTTTGGCGTGTTTGCAATTATTAGATTAGTGGAATATTCATATCATATATAAGGAATTGAAATCAAACAATTTGAAGAAAAATTGTTGACCAGAAAATTGGCGGTTTTGCTATGAAGTCAACAGTTGGCTCTATAGTGGAGCTAACTTTCTATATACAACAAATAAACCTACCATATTAATAAAATTATATTAGTGTTATTTAAGTAATTAGAGAGTATGATAAGTTTACTTATTGTATATAGAAGGTTGGCTTCATAGCAAAACCGGAAAAATTGGTATATAAAAGAAAAAATGAAAAAATAAATTCGAAGATTCGGATTCCTTTTGACCAACTCTTTAATATTCAAGGAAAACTATCGAAGGATGGAGGAATATTCAAACCTTGTTAGCTTTTTTTATTTATTAATTTTATTTATTTATTTATTTTTAATTTTATTTTATTTTTTTGTGTGTGTTTGTTCATATTAACTCATTCTAATTTTCCCTTCATAAAGAAAAGAAAAACAAAATTGGGCAATTTTAATACCTTTCTTTATTTAATAATTTTGATTTGCTATTTTTTCCCTTTTATTTTCCTCTCAAAATAGGATCGTGAATTGTGAAAATTTATATCACTAAGTGGTGACATAGATATTGAAAGCAAATTCCTTCGATTTTTAGCCCATATTAAGATCGATTTTAGCCGTTCTTTTACTAGGGATTTAATTTTCGACTGTGCCCTTTTTAAGTAGTTAATAGAAGTTATAATTGATGAGAGTCTTGTGTTGGATATTTGGTGTAAAATACACGGGAATTCTACGAACTGATATGTATTTTCAGTTCTTACAAATAATCTAAAATAGAAAATTACAATTGAACTGAGAAATAAATTACAACTGAAAAACGGAAAGATTTTAGCCGAGACAAGTAAAACTCTTTCCGCAAGAAGAATACGCCCCGTGTGGCTGCTAACGGTTAAGGCGTAACTTCCCCAAAGATACAACGGCAAACGTCTCTAAATCTGTAGCACACCAGATTTACGAGCTCCGGCGAACGGAACGGAGTCGAGAATTGAGCACTTAAAAAGAAATATCTTAAAACAAAAAATATCACTTGTTTCTCTCCTTTGATTTTTTTTTTATATCCGATATTTGGACATAAATTTTTCTTTCCTTTCTCTTTCTATTTCTTTCCTCGCTTTTCCTCTCTTTTCTGTGTGTTGCTCTTCATTCGTACCGAAGCCTATTTATAGATAGCAATGAGATTCAAATCAGCCATTTGCCATATGGCTATCAAGCAAACCAAGGAAAGATAACATGGAGAACATGAGGCTTGAGAAATTATCAGATACAACAAAAGATAAGGCATGTGGGATGATGGGGTAGTGGCCCACTAACATTATTTTCACTCAAATTACTTACAATCCCCCACATGAGTGAAAATTTAATGTATACAGATTCTTGTGCTCAATCCTCACAAAACTCTATTGCATCCGAAAAGGTAGCTTTTGCCTTTGAACCTGTTGACATCCGGATCGGTCAGGCCAAGATCGAGTAGGTCGGCCCCCCCCGAACCGAGCGGGACCGAACTCGCGGGGGCCGACCCGAATCGATAAATTATGTGTAGGACGGGTCGAAGGAAACGCTTCCCGAGCTCGGCACCTGAATCCGTGGGGGCCGAGCCGGTCTCTCCCCGGGGCCGAGCTGGAAGGAAGTTCGCCTGGGACACGCGTGCTTTCGAAGAGAAAGAGCCGACCTTAACAGGTCAGAGCCGCCCTGCTAAAGAATAGCGCCGATCTGATCGTCATTAAATATTCGCCACTTGGGAGATCATCATTTGTTGATGGGACAGCATGTCACAGTCGTTCAGTCAGCATTAAATGCTGCCCATGCCTGCATTTAATGCTTAGCAAGCAATGATTGGGAAAACCTCAAATCGCATTAATGAACTGTCAGGGAGGCGCCGAACTGCTCTGCAAGTCTACTGTACGACAAGACCGGTGAACAGTTCCTCATTTAAGAGTACTATAAATAGCAGCCCACCTCATTTATTTTGGGGTTGTTGAATTCACAACTAACTCAAGCTTTCCTTTACTTTCTCTCTCTAATATTGCAAGGATTGTAAGAACTGTAAGAATATCACAGGAGCCGACCTCGTACGAGAGGCCGACCACGTGATCGTTTAATAAAAACCTATAATTAAACCTTATCCTGGCCTCATTCTCAGTCCTGTACTTTTCATTCACTTAATCTTAACCGTTGACCGAAAACACTCGTCAACAGAACCTTTCTTAGTAAACATCATCGGATGCACTGACGGCCTAGTGGACATAATGCCTTGAACTATTCCTCCATAGTGTACACCAAGACAATGACATTCACACAATAGAGTCTTAACTCCATTCCGTTCTATCGTTGTGTCCGTTTT